CAAAGAAACTCACTATTATGCGAGGCAGGTCATACCGAAGTATTTCCCATTTTTGAGTTATTTTGGATACGTAAACCTAATATATTTTAAATTTTTAATATATATCTACTACTATATATACGTACAATGCCGGTGAAAACCAACAATAAAACATAATAACTATATTATTACTTAAAACACCGTATCGATTATTATTAGTAGGAACCAATTTTTTTTTTACTGCTGGATAGAGGTGTTGGTGAAAAGCATTATTTTCCTCTTAACTCTTACCAGCTGATATATTCAGTTACATATACATAAATATGATAAATACACCATTTGTTTTATCAACTTTAATAATTAGTGTAATAATAATAAAAGTTTTTTTTTTGTAATAATTTAATAATAATGAATAAAAAAGCGGCCGCGTCCGTTGCGAGTCGTTTGAGGAACTGTCGAACGCGGCCGATAGGAACTTGTTTTACTGGGCACTAGGCCCACTGGACCCTCGAGGGGTACCGCATGCAGTATCTACAACTCGTTAGGAACATTTTATGTCGCAGTTTGATATACACAGAAAGTCAGGAACTTGACATCTGCTTGGACTGTCCGGAAACCCGCCAGCAGAAGCCCACAACTAATTTAGTAACTATACGTTGCAATAGGAATCATCGGACCTACTCAACTATACAACATATACAATAACTACACTGACACACCTACTATAACATAACGTAAGAGTTCTAAAAATATATGGTACATCAGTTGTAAAGAGTGAAATTTTTTTTAATTGCTTTCAGGGGTTAGTTTGGATTTACTTAATTTGGAATGAGTTCCTATGCCAGCTAAAGCGACTTAACCACATCACCTTGCGATCTCCGGGAGCCTAAGCCAGGCACTTTTACTCAACTGTACTCAACCAAATATTAGCAAAATATATTTTTATCTAACCTAAATAGTCGTTATTTTCGTTGGTAAAAATGTGTAACTTCTTAAAAGGTTTCTTTACTAATAATTATTGAAATAAAATCAATGGTGCGCTCTACCATTATCATAATAGACACAAGTGAATGAAGGGCCTATGTAACATGGTGTTTTTCTGTGAATAAAAGGCTTGTGTACCTAAAATTCGTTTAAAATGTTTTCCATAACAATATATAAAGGACCCATGTACTAGGAAATAACTGCCAAACAATAAACTTTAACACGTTCGCGACGTACTGGATATTACAAGAACCCACTAACTGCTGTTTTTTAAATTTTATTTTGTATTTTGCTGTAATTAAATTGTTTTGAACTAAAATCTGTTTTTTTTCCATTTTTAGATTATTTAGAGCGTGCCCCACCGGTGAGTCACGACGGTCCTATGGAAAAAATAGCCAGTGGCCGTCGTGAACCACCGGTGGACACGCAAAATTATTGGAATTGCAGAGAACACAACATATTATAAAGCAAATTCCAAATATTATCCATATCTTAAAGTGCTACGAAGTAGATTAAAGGGAAGTAAAAGGCTCAAAGTCTGTCGACAGACTTTGAGCCTTTTACTTCCCTTTTTGTTTCAGATAGTTTGTCGGTAAAAAATATTATCAAGGACAAAGATTATTTTAGGAAGAGCTCTATAGTCTATTTTTATGTATAAGAGAGTAATAAAACAGCATTTCTAATGCAAAACTTAGTACGGTCATTTTAAATATTTTTACAGAATAATCTAAATATTTCCTAAAATTGTAATAAATGTACCTGAGCTATTACAAGTTTTGGATCTTTTATTGGTCCTTTATAAACATAAGCTGTACAGAACAATAGAAAAAGGTTTGGACAGGCCAAAAGCCCTGTGTATTAAAGATTACATAGCCGTATCTTAAGATTATTTTCAATAAGTACCTATTTGCCAATTTTGTTTTATTTTAATTCCAAGAATTTCTTACAGTAATCGAATTATAAGTAGATAAATACCTTCCTAACAAATTTCACCGAAAATGCGATTATAGGTTTTCCATTTAGTAACGAGGTTCAAGTTGTGTATTCTTGACAGTTTACTAAATGTCGTTTAGTTGCAACTTGCAAGGTGCAGTGTGAATTCTAGTGTGATCATGGAAAATTTGGAAGGGCCGCGTAAACGACAAAAAATCGGTCCTTTAACAGTTAATGAAAAAACATTAATATTTAATTGTTTTAAATCATTTACAGACAAACATTTATGTAAAAGTGTTGATGACACAGTGGAATTAGTTAGTAATACGCTTGGTGTTGGGAAATCTACGATTTACAGAGTTGTTAAAGAAGAGAAATGTGACGAATTTCAAAGAGCACGTAAAGCTCCAAAAAAAAAACAAAATTTCAATTAGAAAATCTTTTGAAAGAAAGACTTCGAAGGAAAGTGCATACGTTCTTCTTTAGAAAAGAATTTCCGACAGTGGACAAAGTTCTTGCCACGGTTCGAGATGATAAGGATTACCCTAAAATGAGTCGAAGCACACTATGGAAACATTTAAAAGAAATAGGTTTTCTATGGAAAAAGCATTCCAGAAAGTCTATTTTAATAGAAAGAAGCGATATTGTAGTATGGAGAAGAAATTACCTAAGGACTATAAAAGAAATGAGAAACCGAAGAAAAAATATATTTTATTTAGATGAAACATGGATCAACGAGGGACATAAATTTTGGCAAGATGAAACTGTTACAAGTCGAAGACAGGCTTTTTTAAATAATTTATCTACTGGTTTAAATCCACCATCAGGAAAGGGGCGCAGACTAATAATAGTACACATCGGTAGTTCAAACTGTTTTGTTAAAGGTGGTTTATTGACTTTTGAATCTACTCGTACCGGTGACTACCATGAGGACATGAATGCTGATGTCTTTAAAGAATGGTTCGAACAAATTATAGATCTTCTTCCTCAGAACTGTATAATAGTAATGGATAATGCAAGTTATCACTCGAGACTTATAGAAAAAATGCCCACAACCAAGTGGTTAAAAAAAGATTTACAGAATTGGCTAAATTCAAAAAATATTAAGTTCCATCCCGGTTCTGTGAGAAAATAACTGTATCATTTGTGTTCCCTTCATAAAGAGAAATTCAAAAAATATGAAATTGATGAAATTGCAAAAAATCGTGGGATGACGGTGGTTAGATCACCACCATATCATTGCGAAGTAAACCCGATTGAACTGATATGGGCACAGATAAAGGGAGAAGTTTCAAGAAAAAATAATTATTTTAAAATGAGTGATGTTAAACAGTTGTTCTTGGAGGCTGTAAATAATGTGAAGCCTGAAAACTGGGAAAAGGCAGTAAATCATAAGATTAAAGAAGAAGAGAAAATGTGGAAAATGGACAATATTACTGATGAAATAATCGAGCCACTCATTGTAAATATTGGTTGCGACAGTTCATCTTCTGATTTCGATTCTGATTTGGATTTGTAGGTAAGAAGTAGTTTTTATATTAAAATTATTATTTATAAACGTAACGTTGTTTAAAAGTCAAAGTTTAAACCCTTATACCTACATAACCCGTTTGACACAATTTTCTTAACATACCTTGTGGAAAAATAAAACATTTTAGAAAAAATTGCACTTTTTTACCTTCAGCTGTTTAGAAGTTATAAGCAGGTTAATTAGGTGAAAATATAAGTGTATACTCGAGGAATAACTTCAAAAAATATTTTAACTGTACTAAAAGAAGTGGTACGCCTATGGATTACGAACGCTTTATTATTTTAATACTCTCTCATACATAAACATAGACTATAACTGCTGTTTGTTAAATTTTATTTTGTATTTTGCTGTAAATAAATTGTTTTGAACTAAAATCGTGTTTTTTTCCATTTTTAGAATATTTAGAGCGTGCCCCACCGGTAGGTCACGACCAGAGATTCCAGAACAAAGTATTGAGGAATATTGTCGATGCTCCTTGGTATATTAGAAACAGCGACCTTCATCGAAACCTTTAGATGGACACCAATTTCGCTAGAAGACTCAAGACCCAAGAAAGTAAAAAAAATTAACAAAGAATTAAGCAAATTAAATTAATTTTTGACCCACTATCTAATAATTCACAAAATTTATAAGTTAATAACAAATAATAAAGATTGCTTATTTAACAAATTCAAAATAAATTAACGAAATTAAAGGTTTAGTCTTTTTAGACTCAATTCAACACAAGCCTTTGTACCGGGGGGTGCGTAATAATGCTTCGAATTCTATACCCTCATATTTCAATTAAGCGAGTTGTCTTGGTATAGCACTGAAGTGGTCCACTTAAGTTTTAAACATCAACGCAACTAATTACAATTGATGTAAAGTCCACAAGTAAACGGTCATGCGATTTCTTAAAATTATTGACGCACCTGGCCCAGTGTTGCCAGATTTAGAGTTTTAACAGTAGATCTACTGTTTTAGGCATGAAATTTTTGCGGATTCTCAAAGCGTTTGTTAAACTTGTTTTTATTTTTCGGTGTTTCTGTTTTATTAATTGTATAATGTAGTGACGTTTTTAAAATAATTATTAACTTCTGTTGTATGAGTAAATATTTTAATAAAGAATCTTATAATTTTATTAAATTATATTTCAAGAGAGCGAAAATAAGGCAGGTATAACTTCTATTATGAAAATTGCAGAGCGCATACTGGCAATATCCAAATCAATCTCTTTAATACTGCTGAACACGCAGCATATCTAATAACAGTTTCGAAGAAAAACATTTCCTGCTATTAGCAGGAATAAAATAGCGACAAAATTGTCTCAAAATTTCCTACTGGCTTTCTTTATCTATAACATTTTTAATGTTAATTGTGTTCTGTAAAATTACACCAATTAGAATCCAATAGTGATCAATTTGGGATTAATTGTTTATATTTCGGTAAATATTAGTAATATTAAAAAACACTTTTATGAAGTAACTTCCATTCAACAACAAACGAGCTTATACCTACGACAAAATACAGAGAAAAACGGTAAATTTCTGGTAATAAACGAATCAGATATTCTTTAATTCAAAAGAAAAACGTAGTTAGTTTACCAGATTTGTATCTGTATACCGAATAATCTCCTATTGCACAAATAATTTATCTAAAACATAATTTAACTAAATCGATTGATAGTTACTGTACAGTTGAGTTAAAGCAGCTGCTTTTATCAGGTTAATGTCCAGTAGTCAATGGTTTGGCTACATCACTCGGTGCGAGAAACCTTCGTTTTGTTTCAGAAGGTTGACACAAATTATTTGAATTCGTATCGATAACTTGAGGCGTCTCTTGAGCTGCTCTCGCAGCCAAAAGCGTTATCTGGTTAACGACATCTTCCATTTCGTGACTAAGTGGTGACTCAGACGGAGGCGGTAGTAAAGAACCCATTTTATGCATAGCGTTGTTAGGCACAACGCGATTATTAGTTTTGAGATGCGCTTCGCTCTCGCAGTGTTTTTTCAGTTCCAAGATGGACTTGAAACGTTCGTGATTGCAGCTCTTACACTCGTATCCGGTTTGAACGATGCGGAAGGCCCCGCGATTTCCTTGGTTGCCTCCGTAGCACTGCCGTTGATGCGTAAGTAATTGGGACTCACCGGGAAACGCCAAACGGCATTTCTTGCACACAAAACAAACCTCTACGTCGATATCGCGCACAGTAAAGTCATGAGGGCGCTGGAAAGTGTCCGGAAGCTTCAGAGTTGTTACTCCTGGTTCGGAGTTGCCGGCTGCCACCTGTTCTAGAACCGGAGCGGGTAGTGGAAGGAAAGAGGGGCCGGAACCTGTGTCTAGTAGTAATCCCCCGGCTCCGCCTGTAACAAAAGACACAATTTTTAGGTTTCATACAATTTAACAAAAAGTAATTAAAAAAAAAAACGATAATATCGTGTAGATGTCATTAGAAATTGAGTTTGCTAATTTTTACCATAAATCCCATCATCAGATCTTGACTAAATGAAGACTACCCCTAAAAAAAGTGAGAATAAAACCGCCTAGTACCAAAACATGGCACGCAAACACACATTTAAATATTACACTCGAAGCGAAGAAGGATTCAGTTTCACTTAATACATCTAGAAGAGTTAGTACTTCGTCCACGCCATAAAATATAACTGCCGTAGTTGCAGCTGCAACGTTAAGTACTAATAACCTCAAAAACAGCCCCGTAAACAAACAGTACTATCTTTTTTCACTAAAAATAAAAATAAACTATATAAGTTGGGTACTAACCAAATTGTGCATGGTTCTGTATCTATATTTATAAGGGTTACTTCACAGCACTTAGCACTAGGTGTTGGGTAAGTTAGACCACGAAGTATATCAGAAGCAGAATGGAAAGCTGGTGTTAGTATTTAGAAAAAAGAAAGGGTCCTCGGGGGTTTTTGACGTCTGATGAAAATAGCATATTTCTTACATTAAAATAAACATTTTCTTGGCATAGAAAGATTATTGTTTTTTTTTTAAATATATTAAACACTTGTCCCAAGTAAACGCTATAATTGAGACGTCCCATTACAATCTTAAACCACCAATAAAAAATATAGATATAATTTAAATTGATTATTTATTAAGACAATATTTATCAATTCAACTGTTATTAGTATGTAAATTTACGACTGTCATGACCAAGTAGTTGTTTGAGCAGTATATAAATAATCCAAAATTATCGCTACAAAGCTGGCCGGACTCAATAAAATAAATTAGTGTCTTTTGAGTGGGCAGCCACACTTTTTAATCCGTAAGAATCTAGTATACACACACAACCTCACACAGTGTCGTAACAATGCTCGTTTACAAAAAAATGTAGAATTGTGACCAGTGATGTCATTATTCGTTGCTTAATATAATGAGTAAATATTGAAATTTATAGAAATTATTACAATAACTATGTTTATTATTATTATTATGTGTTCATAATTGTGTTGGTGTATTACTGGTTTTTGCTTTACATATCTAGGTTAATTCAATATCAAGACAAATGAAAATTGTTATTAATACGAATAAGAAAAATTGGTTTGAACCAACGAATAACTTTTGTAGTATCCTTTAAACTGTCTTGAATCTATTTAGATTCACTATTTGGACTAGTGATAAGCGAGACTGGTCTTGAACTTGCGGTCTTGGTCTTGCTTTTTTGCAAGACCAAGACCAGCTGAAAGCTTGCAAGACCAAGACCTAGCTGTGTAAGACCAAGACCAGCTGAAGGCTTGCAAGACCAAGACCGAGTGCAAGACCAAGACCAGCCCGGTCTTGGTCTTGTTTTGCTCATCACTAATTTGGACCAATTCAATGCGCAGGCGCTGCTTTCGTACCGTTTCTGTACAGTACAGAAATATACACCAGTTACCACATTGAATGTGTTGTTTATTCTTTTCTTTAACCTTATTTTAGTTCAGCACCAGACGCAATAAACAACAAAAATCGTCTGTTAGTATATACTGCTCAAATGCGCATGTCAATATACTTTATTTCATGTTCATAAATGATGGTACAAATACTAATTCATGAATTATTCAAAATTAGTTGGAAATTTTTAGAAGAATCAACTATTAAACAGTCATTTATTTGTTGGAATGCCACTAACTTATTGCACAAGACCGTAAAAGTATAACGTATGGTTTTTGGTTTGATGGAACGAACCTAAATTGATTTTTGGGATTAAAAGGCACTGAATATTGGGAAAAGACAAAGAAAGACAGAATGAGGGAGAAATATAAGAGAGAAGAACAATATTTTTTGGTATTATTAGAGGACATTAAAATAAGCAAAACTATTTAAATTAGAAATATTTCACATTACAACACCTAGATTAAAAATTCAAAAACTTATAACTCACACATGGCTACCACCTTCAACTTTAACCTAGATTAAATTAGATTTAAAAGAGGTTGGACTTTCTTTGTCCTTTTCCACCGCGACTTCTTTAGATTTATTGTGGAACTCCATTTATTTAGGGTATGTCGTCTAGCTTGGTCTTTTTTATTAGACTTATTAACTTTAATATTTACTCCCGCTATGCGTTAGGCCTTTCTTTGTCTTCTTTGTCTAATGCTGTGCCTTCACACTGGCACTAGACGTGGATTGGTGTTTCCTCTTTTTCTTTACCGAATTTACACAATATACCTTCTTAGTCAACAGTGTCCAGTAAGAAAACTTACTGTTATCCTAAGGATTTGACGTTTTTGATCAAGTAGGTATTTCTTGAACTTGGCCGATGGTTTCTTGATGATCTCTTTGGCCTTCTTAGTCTTAAATAGCTATTCCACCATTCCTGAGACTAATTTTGCAACCATTGTTGGATGAATGCTTTGTACAATGACAGCGACTCCACAGAAGGGATCGGATACTGTTAAGGACTTATCTGAGAATTTTGGCGATGTGTGTACTTGCCAGATGTGCAGAGAGAAAGAATTATTGCTCTCATTGAACAAGTAATATCCCAATGAGACATAGCAGAGGTAGTAGGCGATACTCAGAGTGTTGTATCAAAAACATATGAAAGGTACTAGAAACTCTCAAGAACAGGCCCAGATAGAGTCGTCAAAGAGTCACAACTGAACAACAGGACCAGTTTGTGTGCCAAATTGCTAGAAGAAATCCCAGTGTTTCTCATCCAGAGCTACAATGACAACTTCTGGAAGCTACAAGTGTGAACGTTTCAGTTGAAACCCTAGAAAAAAGAGTAGGAAAGAGATACGGATCTTTTTTGGGTTAATTCATCAGCCTTTTCATTGTTCTGATATCCCTCATGGCTCGATACCCAGTGGAAGAGTCACCTTGTTTTGATTACTTAGCTTTGCCAAGTCTTCTAGGCAGTCTTTCTGGAAGGAATTTCCTTTAGAGCTGCTTAGTTATCAAAGTAGATGGCAATAGTTTTGCCTGATATTGCTGATTTATTATTTATCTTGCATAGTGTTGTATAGAACACCGTTGCATGTTGTTCTCGACTTGGATTCATAGATTCTAGTACCAGCTCCTTCCTTGGTTTTTAAACCGTATGCATTTTAGGCGAGTTGAGTCTATATGGGTCCCTATTTCTAGGATTCTCGGGCTGGTATCTAAATTTGAAATTTTCTTTTAAATTTGTATGTGGTTATGGCTATATTAGTAGGCATTCCTAGAATCTTATCGTAGATACGCCCAAGCATACCTTTTTCGAGTGTGATGACAGAACTGAAGTAAAAAATAGAATGGGACAGATAACAACAAAAATTATACTGAACAAGATGTTAGAACACAAAAAAAACTGGAATACCATAAGTAAGTTCGTAAAACGTATTATAGAAATGAAAGAGAAGGATGCAAGAACAAGAAACTAAATCTTCGCTCTCCCGAAGCAACGCTTACAGCAGTACCAGGAGAAGTTACTCAAAAAGAACAATGGTAGTTTAATGGGCATACTAGAAACACCCAGTGCACCTCATTGAAATGTTTAAACGTTAACTGGATTATTTTTAATATTTTATTACGATTTACCCAAGCAAAAGATATCTTTAAGGAATTTCAACTCCATTGCTGCAGTTGGCGTAGTAGGCATGGCCCCAGTGGCACTCAGAAAATCGAGCCTTTGAATGCGGGTGAGTTGGCCTATTGCACTTTTCTGCGAAGTTTTGGTTACCTACGCTACTGATTGCAGTTATTTTAGGGCTTATATTTTAATTTTCCCTCATTTTTCTACATCTTAAACAAGTTAGTGTAGGTTTGTATGCGAGTATTTTGATTTTACGTCAGCCCTTGATCGAATATGACTCCGAGGTATTTGGCTTCTGTAACAAATGGAATAACCATGTCATTTAGTACTAGTGGTCTCAGTCTTGTAAATGTCTGTTTTTTGTGTTATTTTTTGTGCAAAAAATTGACAATTGCTCCTTCTTGCACTAGTTGTTCACTATGTGTGGATCTATTTAAGATCGCTCAGAGACTGTGTCTGCAAATCGCCCCCTGCGTATCCTAGGCACTGGTAGCTTTCTTTGAACAATGTTTTAAGTAGGTGCTCCACTATAACTCACCACAGCATTAGAGATAATATTCCTATTTTGCAAAGATGTGTCATTAACATATCCTTACCCTTTTGAAACAGAATTGGATATATTCCATCTAGTCCCAGGGATTTGTAGGACTTAAAATTTGTTGATAGCCCAACTAATTCTGTGTAGTCTTGTAATCTTCAAAGCCAGCTTTCAGTCTTTTGATTGTAGCTTTTTTTTGGTCTTCTGAATCTAGATCTGCTAGGATAGTTGAGACTGGAAATTGCACCTCTTTTTTGTAAAATTTTTACTCAGCAGACACAACTTATTTTGCAGTGTTCTTCTTGTCCTAACAGGGTTAACTTTTTTGAAACCTCCTGTATATTTAATTTTGAAAATTAATCTTTAATATCCCCAATGTTACTATTTATATATTTTTATTCCGAAAATATAGATCGTCTTCAAATAGAAAATTGCAATAGTGAAATTGTTGTTTTTTTTTGTTGGTAAAAATAATAATAAAAAGAGGTAGTCCTTTACTACGCCACTGACTGTTACAAATTTATACAAGACCATGTAGCACCGGAGCAGTTTTTATTCCAGTGGGTCTTGAAATTTATACCTGAAATCCTCAATGATTTCTTCTTCTTTTCTAGTCACAAGTTCTATTATAGTGGACGTTACGTTTATTGTATTGATATGCACCTTTTATCTACCTTGTAAGATTCTAATGGAGTAGGTATGTTGGCGGAAGGGATTAATTTTATGTCTTTTAAATACCTTCTTGCGTTTTAATTTCTTATATCGTTCATAAACATACGATTTTTACTGTTAATAGTATCTCGTTCTACCAGTATATTGGTTTGAAATCGCAAATTTGAGAAATCACCGATTTTAATAGTACATCAATTTATATTTTTACTAAATTGATGTTGGAACGTGATGAAGCAGAAATTTAAAACTTCACGGACTCCTAACCGTAGATGTCTGAAATGTGATGTGTCAAAAACTTTTATACAATCATTAAAACTTTGAAATACTTACAGCGAGATCATTTCTAAATAAACGATAAAAAAGTTTTGGAGACGTATTAAAACCTGATACTTTAAAATTACGATTTGGAGTAATGGTTGTAAAGCAAAAAGCATATTTTGTTATTTTCATCAATTAATTTTATACGTAGAGGTATGCGAATTTAAATACGGGCGTCCAGTTCCTAATTTTAGGTTAATTGAGTTAGTATATCCTAAGTGCCTCATCCACGACCCTTGTTACAGAGATTTACTCACTAAAATTATACAAACAACAACAGAGGTTACAAGTTATGCTTATCATCTACATATATCTAGCTTCTTGTTAGAGTTACCCATACATTCACTCCATCTTAATTCAACTAATTTTCTTTCTTTGGATTGTGCAACATTTTTCTCTTTCTCTATCCAATTTCTTTTCTTTAATCTTATTTCCAATCGCACTCTAATAGAATACAAATAGATAAACAAGGTTTTGGAATGTCTTTTTTAGGTTGACTTTCTTGTGCCCTAACCTATAATCTACCAGCGTTTCTATTCTACTCTGTTTGTTTCTATTGCTGTCCTCCAATCTACATAAGATCGTCACTCCATCTCAGTCAGTATGCTTCTACTTCTTTTACATAGCTATGGTTTCTAATATTTCCGCATTATTATCTTCAAAAGGTTTGTTGTATAGATAAAGTCGGTCGCAAACACGTTTTAAAACACTGTAATCCAACGTGCTGTTGAGAATATTGAGCTGAAAGGAGTTGTTTGTTGTTATAAGTTAAAATCGGGACTAAAGATATGACATGATCTATTATCTTGTTGTCTTTCATTAGTGCTTACACCCAACTCCACTTTAGCAAGGCAAGATGCTCTGTGGCATCTTTAAATTTGGTTCAATGTCTCATCCAGTGATTTACTTCTACTGGTTATTCTATTGAGCTTTGTTGTCTTTATGGTCCACGTTATATTAGTAGCAAAATTGAAAGATTATAGTGGTTCTATTCTTGTTTTAAGATAATGCTTGATTTTGTTTTTCAAATCCACTTTAGTTTCCCGAATCCTGTCTATGTTAGAATGCTAAATTGTGTGCATTACATTAAAGGTTTAATTAAAATTTGTATTTTCTTCATTTGAATAGAAATGGCAGGACCATTGTATCTGTATGAACTCTAGTAAGATTATTTGGTATAAGTTGTGAATTTTTATTGATTTAGTGATATTCCTATTATCTGATTATGTCCAAACTAAAGAAAAATTGATAATTAAATAACTTAGCTTCT